CCCCAAAACCCCAAAACCCCAAAACCCCATGAATGTTAAATTTTTGAATAGCAAATGAATGAAATCAAAAATTACTTTAACTTATAAAATACTATAACTTTACTATATTCTGTTAATAATTAGACTAAAAATTGAAAATATATATCGAGGCTATGGGTAATGCATGGAAAGGTATCTCTGATGTTATATTCTAAGAATATGAGATGAAAATGCTGTTACATTCTGGAGTACCAATGTAGGATATAGAGGTATTCAATGTAATGATAGATAATCAGAGAAATTATATTAGAACAGTAAGAGTTGGATCTCACCAAAACCCGGCAATGTTATTGATTCATGGGTATGGAGGGTCGTCAGTAGTCTTCTGGAAAATCATTAAACCTTTGCAAGAAAAATACAATTTGTTTTTAGTAGATGTTCTTGGGATGGGTGGAAGTAGCTGACCTAAATTTGCCATTGAAAACTCTGAGGAGACAGATGACTATTTAACTTTATGGCTTGAATAGTGGAGGTAGTCACTTGAGTTATAATCTTTTATTTTGGTTGGGCATTCATTTGGAGGTTATATCAGTGGCCTTTACTCATCTAAATATCCTTAAAGAGTTAGAAAACTAATTTTACTCTCACCTATTGGATTATCAAAGAATTAAATAGATCATGAGGAAAAAAGAGAAATAGAAAATGTTTCGCTTAATTAGAAGATAACTACTATATAGTAACAGCATAAGTTTTCAAAATTAGAATTACTATTTTGGAAAAAATGATGGACTCCTTTTGATCTCCTTAGAAAATGTGGAAGAGGAACATTTAAGTGCTTTATGAAGAATTATCTAAAAAAGAAACTTTACTCTGTTTCAGAACATGAGTTTAGGGATTTTTAGATATATATCTAATAGGTAATTATGAGAAGAGGATCTTCTGAATACTGCATATTTAGATGTTTCAATCATGAACTTTTTGCTTTTCATCCTCTTAATTCAGATGATAGATTAGGGAAAATAAAGATTCCAGTAAGTATATATTATGGAGATACAGATTGGATGAGAAAAGATGGAGCTGAAGATATTATAAACTAAAATCCTTATAAAGGGACTCAGAGTCATATTTTTACAATCTCTGAGAGTAATCATCAAATGTTTTTTGATAATCCCGCTGAATTGGTGAAAATCATGATACAGGATTTGAGTAATCTAGATAACTTAGATTGCTCTGAAAATGATATTGAAGGTTAAGATCATATATTACATTTAAAATTAGATAAAAGGAGATATTCTGAACATTAATAGTTGAATTAAGAATGCTTAAAAAACCATATTTCTAGAGAAATCTGTTTTGATGATATTCTTAGTAATAGAGTTTGAATTGATAAAGCATTTTAATTGATTTTAAATATATAAATTTTGTGAAATTAAATTTCATCAATCTCACTCGAATTAAATAAGTTATCAAGATGGGGTTTTGGGGTTTTGGGG